ATTATATAATTCATTATTGATGGTTTCAAGTTGTTTTTTCTGAAATGAACTGAACGCATCGGCAGCCGGCAGGTAGATCGAGCTGATTATGTAAAACATACAGAAGTTAATCAGCAAAATAAAACATGCAAAACCTCCAGTTTGGTCCTTTAACGTCAGAAGATGTTTCATCTTATTTAAAACGGCTACGTTAGGATATACGAGCTGCAGTACTGTATAAGTGTCCCCATCAGTGTTACTGTTCACACTAACGTCGCGTGTCCACTTCACGTAGTGTGTTTGATTGCAGACCGTTTCGGTGAGGATGAAGCTTCGGTTCAAACTGACCTCGACCTCTTTGGGCCTCTGTTCTTTGAGTGTTGGTCGGCGTTTGTTTCCACTCTCCTCCGATGTGACAGGACTGACTGAGTCTTTGTGTTTCAGTGTCAAAATGAATCTGAAAGGATGTCAAACGCAGTCAGAAGTCAAGTCCTATTATTTTGTACCACTGTTGTTATTTTCAGGTTTGGATGTTTAACGATGATGTGAATGTGCCTTATTTAATTCACGCCCAAATAACCGATAATAAACCGTTGAGACTAATTTATATTTTTGTCAGTGGTGTTTTTTTTCACTGAAGAAGTTTAAGTAACGTTAAACACGTTGGCAGTGTTGAAGTTTAATCAGACCACATTTCTGTGACAGCTTATTTTTATTTTAATCATGGTGCAGCAGATCTAACACACACACACACGCGCACACACACACACACACACACACATTTTGTCTCCCTGTTTTAAAACCTCAGCCACAGATTGTACTGGATTTTCAAAAACCCACTTTACACTCAGAAGCTCAAAGCTGTGTTGCTGCTGCACAGTTTGGAAAAACACATTTTCACAGACTGTCCAGATTTAAAAATTACTCTTTCGGAGAGTTGGGGAAATCAGTGCCCAGATCTTTATTGCTCGGTCGAGGAAACGATTTTACCACAAGGTCTATTTTGATCGTATCACACGTTCCTCAGCAGATGGAGTTGGTCCCGTTATCATCAGAGAGATTCCAGCACCAAGGTGCCACTGAGCAAGGCCAAACCTCTAACTGCTCCCCGCTGCACAATGGCTGCCCTCTGCTCCCTGTTAGGAAGGGTTCAATGTAGAGAACTAATTCTGAGTGCATTGCACTCACCAGGAGGAAACATTTAAACTCATGTTGGGGTCCAGTATCAGGCAGTTTGGGTTTTCAGTGAAATGACTTGGAAGAATCTAACTTGCAGCCGTAATGAGAGCCTGTTGAATCTTCTGATTGCTAAGGAAAGGTGCTTCTGTGGGTACATCCCAAGGATCTTATTTGACATTTCCTGGCTCCTCACTTGAACCGGAAGTCGTTGAGGTCTGCCATCTTGCAGGCGGTTCCAAAGCTCTGATTTCTGCTCTGAGGATTGAGGAGTGATCTCGGAGGAGCCGTGAGCGAGGATACATGAGAGCAGCTTTCACAGAAGTCTGCTCTCATTTTGGATATCAGCTAATGATAAATCATGACATCACTGCAGTTTCATACCGGAGTAAAGTCTAAACTAGAGTTTAATATTTGATTTGATTTTAGATTCACCGTCTAGTTAGAAATCGATGTTCATTGTAGGTCTGTCCAACAAAAAGACCACAAACAACTTTCTTCAGTTGTTGGAAAGATTTTTCTTTTCAAGATCAAGATATATTTTCCCCATTAACTTTTATTAGACAGTTAAAGTCAGAGAGACAGAATCATTTATCGTCATTTTGCAGAGTAACATGTGAGGCTGATATTTCCTGAGCGTTGGCTTTAAAATGAGCTACAACATTTCAATTTCCACTGAAACATTTGGCCTAACAAATCATTTCCAATATTCCAAAGACACCGCGGTCACATTCTGGGTTCCTGGGCCTTTGAGCAGGACACACAATAGTCAATAACAGCAGGTCTAATCTAACACCATTACTGGCTAGCCTTAAAGCACGATCATCCATCCATCCATCGTCAACCGCCTATCCTGTGTACAGGGTCACGGGGGGGCTGGAGCCAATCCCAGCTGACATCGGGCGAAAGGCGGGGTCCACCCTGGACAGGCCGCCAGTCCATCGCAGGGCCACACAGAGACGAACAACCAGTCACGCTCACACCTAAAGACAATTTAGAGTCACAAACTAACCTAGGCCGCATGTGTTGGACCACGCAGCCACGGGGAGAACATGCAAACACTGTCATTTATAATAATAAAAATAAAGAATGAATAATACAGAAATGTCAACCTGAGAAAATCGTTCAGTAAACACAGCGATAGAGAAGACTTCTGACTTGACAGTTGTCCAGAAGACACTCATTGACCGAGGAGAAGCCACAGGTTATAGAGTGAGATTGAGTTTGAAACTCCCTCCCGTGCTCTCCATGTGTTTTTATTTTTTATCCTGCAGCCCTCTGGGATTTGTTTAAATATAAAGTGAATTACAAATAAAATGCATTATTATTATTCTGCTAGGCAGCAGACATTATACATCTGAAAGTTATAACAATGGTAAATAAACAGTGGAGCAGTGCTGAGGATGAATTAGAGATATTCTAATATTGTGTGACACATGGATTTTTGATTTCCATGATCATGTAGATTAAAACAAACAAAAGAGGCCTGAAATATTTCACTTTTATATATTAAAATATAACAGTTTTAAATTGCAGGGAGAAATTAACTTTATCTGCGATAGTCTAATTTTCTGAGATGCAGTAAAGTAGTGAAGACTGATCAGTCCCAGTGGATTCTTCTTCACACCTTTCCTTGAAGTGAAAGGAGTCCAGGTGTCAAAGGTGTTTAGGAATTCGGCCGCAGCCCTGAGAATAACCGGTGCGCGCGCCCCGCCGCGTCCCTCAGCTCTACTTCCGGGGTCGTTCCCTGCTCAGTGGGTCAGACTGCCAATGTCTCAGATTCATTAAGAAGATAAAACATCCGAGCGGAAAGTAGTTGGAGGTGTGTTTGCAAAAGGTGAGTCATGGAGGTTAGAAACAACAACAACAACAACAACAACAACCACCCGGAGCTGCATGTCAGGGTTTTAGCGTTAAAATGCTAACACACGAAGATGTTGCTGGTTAAACGTGTTTATTCACGTTTAATGTCATTCCGGGGGAAATAATGGTTAATTGCGGGTCTTGTATGAGTTAATCTGTCAGGGGCGGAATATTTAAGATGAAAGATTCGTAGCTGAAAGATTTGACAGCTAGCTGAGCTAACAGCTAACGTTAGCTGTTAGCTGCTGAACATTTGTTGTCATAACGTCCCCGTTTGGTACCGAAACGTATTAACAGCTACTTTATTAAAGTTAGAGTAAGTTAGAGGATTTACCGGGAGCTAAATGTGGCTGATTCATGCGGTTTAAAGGCCCCGGACATCGGGTGGCTGTTGGTGTTGTTATGCTAATGTTCTAAGCTAGGTCAGATATTGTTGATGTCTGCATTTTAAACCACAATGAAAGCGTTAGCATTAAGCTAAGCTAAGCTAGCTGTGCAGCTGCTGGAAGAAGAATTCAGTTCATAAAACTAGTAATAAAACTTCACTGTACAAAAACAAACTCTGTTACAACTGCATTAAAGATGTTAAGTGAAGGTATGGAAGTATAATCAGAAACTTAAAGTATTAAAACTACTCAAAGCAGAAAGAAAAAGGTTGTACTATTATATCACGAGTATTATTATTATTATTATTATTTTACTCATGCATTCATGTAAAAGCCGGATTGTACTGTTGTATATTATTTATCAGACTTTAATGATTATTTCACGATTAATCTGCTGATTATTTTGTTGTTTTTTCTTGTACGATTGTAAAAATTCTGAAAATAGTGAGAAATATTGTCACAGTTGGCCGAACCCAAAGTGATGTCTTCTCAATCCCTGTTTTGTCTGTTTAAATCTAAAAATGATTCAAATCACACTGAGATAATCAAAAGGAAAAGCAGAAAATCTGTGAAGCTCAAATTTTTGTACTTTGCTTAAACGGTTATCAAAATAGTTGCCAATTAAATTTCTGTCAGTCAGCTGATGTACTAGCTGCTCTGTTGTGTAGTTTAATTTATATGCTTTAAAGTGTTTGTGTGCAGAACACTTCCTTTGTAAAGTAACTGAAGCTGAAAATTACGGGAAGTTAAAAGTAGAATATTTCCCTTTTTGAGATGTAGTGGAGCAGAAGTAGAAA